AAAACTTCTTTTCTAATATCGCATTTTATTAATCATATATATTATTTAATAATAATAATAATAGCAAAATTCATTTGTCATTTCATATTTTGTATTTTTTTAAAAACTACATTATAGAGATGATCATAAATTAGAGTATGAAAAGAAAAATATTTAAATAGAAAAACGTAAAAAAGTAAATGTATATGTCCATAAATATGAATACAAAGTAACTTTTTCATTGATTTGTCAATGTATAAGGTGTTAAAAAAATTTCAGCATAAGAAGGTGGCATTGTTGAATGTTTAGGCGATGTTATAGTAGGTGACGATTGTCGAATATTTGTTGTTAATGGTGTTGTACGAATAGATGAAAATATTGGTAATTGTTGTCTTCCTATTTGATTAACAGAAATGTTATATGATGGTGATGATTCTTCAAATACAGGTGAAGATTCATGTAAACGATATTGTTGTTGATAGTGATAAGTACGTGGAAAACCAATTATGTAATTATGTTGAGGTACTTGTTCATGTGAATGATAACATACAAAAGATGAACCTGAGAAGGAACAATACAATGTTTACAAAATATTTTTACAAGATTATCGAAAAACACAAAAAGTATTTTTGAAGGTAAGACTTTTCAATTTTTACTTGATAGAAATATTCGAATAAGATTTTGAAGATATTGTGCTTACTATTCATTTCAAAATATAATATGTTCCATTGTTACTTGAATAACTTTTGATAGAAACATCATAGAGATCTGTGGTTTTCATCATTTAAGAGAAAAGTTTCGAAAACGATATTCTAATGCTATTTCTTTTTCGATCTATGCAAGGCCAATCCATTTGAAAGTTATAAGACTTTTCCTGAGGTCCTCGACTCCAGTCATTTGATCTGGGATCATCTGGAAAAGCAAATAGGCAACGATATTTAGAGCAAACCTTTTCAGATGACCTCCTCTAATTTCAATGATTGTTTTTGCCTATAGACACTATTCAATACTCTAGTACAAACCTTTAAAGGATTTGGATTTCTATGATTTTTGTTTCAAAAGTTATGAATATTTTTATTTTATTTGAGCCATAAATAGGATTATAATAAAAAATGAAATATCTCCACATTGATTCAATTAAATGAGTTGATTTTTTGATTATTGGTAGAAGTTTA